TCTACGTGGGGGTGCTGCAAATTAAACTGCAGAAGCCTCAGTGCTGCAAGGTCAGAAGACCAGCCGTCGAGAGATCGAATCCACATGACGGAGTGAGCCCTCGTCGCTTCTCCCAGCTCCCGCCAACCTAGTGGTTCAAAAGCATGCAAAATGCAAAAATGCAAGTAGATAAATAGGTACCGCCACGGTGGGAAGGTAATGCCACTCCGTGTCTAGTCGCGCTGGCTACGTGACCACAGAAGATTGTCTTCAGACAAACCCTAGCTCTAAGGGTTGGAAGCGGACATGAGCACTGCCCTAATCCGTTCCCATTGGAACAGATTATCCGGTTTTCTATGCATCTCTTTGGGAAAACGTGTTTCGCTTAGCGATGTTTTCCCATAGCGATGAATTTTTTGGAACCAATTAAAACTGTTAAGCGAGGCACCACTGTAACTAGTTACAAACAACAGATAAGTGTGTGTAGAGATTCCTTAACGTACACCAATTTGCTTCCAAAAGTTACATTTGTGTATCTGCACAACAGAATATTTGCTGTTATGTTTTTCCAGGTACTGTTCTTTAATTAGAATGTAATTCATATTGGTTCCCATGGGATGTGGTGGCGCTGCAGGTTAAACCGCTGAAGCATCTGTGCTGCAAGGTCAGAAGACCTGCAGTCGTAAGATCGAATCCACACGTCGGAGTGAACCCCTGTCGCTTGTCCCAGCTCCCGCCAACCTAGTGGTTCGAAAGCATGCAAAATGCGAGTAGAAAAATAGGGACCACCACGGTGAGAAGGTAACAGTGTTCCATGTCTAGTCGCGCTGGCTACGTGACCACAGAAGATTGTCTTCAGACAAACCCTAGCTCTAAGGGTTGGAAGCGGACATGAGCACTGCCCTTTAGAGTTGAACACAACTGGACAAATTGTCTATGGGAACCTTTACCTTTTACCATATTGGCTCCCAGCACACGCACGCACAAACACACACAGAGAAATAAATAATTTGCTGACTGATCACAAAAGATAACACTTCTCTGTGGCAATGTTTTAAACTTCTGGAATACTTCTTTAATAATCTGGGATCTCCTAACTATGAACCATTGGGCTATTTAGACATTTTACTTGAGTCATTTCAGAAACAGAAGAAATTTCCATTTCAACAAGCTTTTACTGCATAATTTTAGCTCTTGCTGCTACCTATAGTTATTGTGGTTTTTAATTATCTGTGCTGCAAGGTCAGAAGACCTGCAGTCGTAAGATCGAATCCACACGTCGGAGTGAACCCCTGTCGCTTGTCCCAGCTCCTGCCAACCTAGTGGTTCGAAAGCATGCAAAATGCGAGTAGGAAAATAGGGACCACCACAGTGAGAAGGTAACAGTTTTCCATGTCTAGTCACGCTGGCTACGTGACCACAGAAGATTGTCTTCGGACAAACCCTAGCTCTAAGGGTTGGGAGCGGAGATGAGCACTGCCCTCTAGAGTTGAACACAACTGGACAAATTGTCTATGGGAACCTTTACCTTTATCATATTGGCTCCCAGCCCTAGGACAAAGTGCGTGCACACACACGCACAAATACACACAGAGAAATAAATAACTTGCTGACTGAGCACAAAAGATAACACTTCTCCGTGGCAATGTTTTAAACTTCTGGAATACTTCTTTAATAATCTGGGATCTCCTAACTATGAACCATTGGGCTATTTAGACATTTTACTTGAGTCATTTCAGAAACAGAAGAAATTTCCATTTCAACAAGCTTTTACTGCATAATTTTAGCTCTTGCTGCTACCTATAGTTATTGTGGTTTTTAATTAGGCTAATCTATCATGGAAAAAACATTTTTATTGTTAATTGTTTCTTGACATTGTACATCGTTGTGATCTATGTCTACATCTTTTCCAGTACACTAGTAGAAAAGGATTGCACAATTTAAAAAAAACCCCGCTATCCTTATTATAGTAAGCAATGCAACATTTCAAAACAGAATTTCATCTTTTATATTGGCTGTTCTGTCTACAATTAAAATGAGAGGGACAGCAAAATAATCCAGGAATACTTTCTAAAATTCCTTGCTTCGTGCCCCGTCATGAGAGGTGACAGAAACATTCAGGGTGACTTAGGGTGTGATCAGTTCGTTCTAAAGCTGCACACCCAATATCACAGAAAAGGATTGCTTTGACGGCAATGATCTCCCTTAAAGTCACCCTTCGGTCTGCTAAGGAATCAGTCCAGCTCAGTCTCAAAAAGTCGATGCCATGCAGCTGGTCCAAAAAGATCCAGCTTGGGCACAGCTTGGGATCAGGCTACAGCACATTTCCCCACACTTCATGTGATCACCAGAAATAGATTGCACCAGACTGCCTCTACAAGTGGTCCAAATTCTGATCTATTTCCCAATGTGATCAATTCTTTGATTGCTGTTAAATGTTTCTCTAGGCCACTATTCGCATTAAGACTGGCATGATATATTGCATGTCTGACCATGCAAACCAAAAAGCAGATCTTTATAAAATAAACCTCGGACTGGTATCTAACCTGGTATACACCATCAATTTGAACATAGAAAGGTCATTAACACTCAGACATTCTTGACCTTTATTGGCTTGGTGGAGTGTTTTGTGTGCATGGAAATTAACTGTTAGGAGTTTTGCAAGCGTTGCTCCATATTTTATATGGAAAAAAATGCAAGAGGGAAAATGAACATCAATTCTGGTATGAATTTACAGAGATTTAAGAGTAGCTTTAACTCCTGTTGTTTATTCCTTAATGGCCATTTGGATCACTTTATTCTAGTAGGCATCCTTCAGTTTCAAGAGACTATGGTAACGTGCTCAGAACAGAGGTCTCGGAACAGCGTCTAGTGTGGCTGAGAAGGCCAATTCGAGAGTGACAATCCCTTCCACACTGAAGACAAATGCAATCTGTCCCCTGTCCAGCTCCCTGGTTTTTCTGGTTTCGGGACTGCCTCTTTGCCTCGGCCTGCTGTACAACGGTCTCTTCAAATTGGGAGAGGCCATGATGCACCATCTGTCTCCAGGCTGAATGCTCAGATGTCAAAGTTTCCCATCTGTTGAGGTCCATTGCTAAGGCCTTCAGATCCCGCTTGCAGATATCCTGGTATCGCAGCTGTGGTCTCCCTCTGGGGTGCTTTCCCTGCACTAACTCTCCATATAGGAGATCTTTTGGAATCTGACCGTCAGCCATTCTCACGACATGCCCAAGCCAACGTAGATGTTGCTGTTTCAGTAATGTATACATGCTAAAAATTCCAGCTTGTTCTAGGACTACTCTATTTGGAACATTGTCCTGCCAGGTGATACCAAAAATGCGTTGGAGACAACGCATATGGAGGGTTTTCAAATGCGTTGGAGACAACGCATATGGATGGTTTTCAACTTCCTCTCCTGCCCTAAACAGATGGTCTGGGACTCACTGCAGTACAGAAGTGTGCTCAGGGCACAGGCTCTATAGACTTGGCTATTGGTATATGTCATCAAGTTCTTATTAAGTCATACTCTCTTTACGAGTCTAGAGAACATGGTAACTGCTTTGAGAGAGAGCGTCAGAGATCATTGTGA